AGAGAGAGAGAGAGAGAGAGAGAGAGAGAGAGAGAGAGAGAGAGAGAGAGAGAGAGAAGGGGGAGAAGGCATGCAAGCTGGATTTAAAACTGAAATCATGACTGCACCCTTTTTTTTTTTTTTTTTTTAATTGGAAAGGCCCTTGTGCAAAACCTCTATCACTGCACCCTACTAACCTAGTTACCCCATTATTTAAAATAGAAAATGAATGGGGTATTTTTCAAGGTGGCCACAGTGCGGCCGCAAGATTTCCAGATCAGATGGCAGGAACTTGTGTGTGCTCTTAAAAGAGTCTTAAACAAAAACGAAACCTCTGCTAGTGGGGCGTGGGCCCGGGATAAGTTTGGATAAGGTTTGGATAAGGTTGGATATACTAACTCACCATGTATGTGATAATTGATAAGGTCACTCTTGGTATCAGGTGTGTATATGACAAACCAATACAAGGCCATCACGTAGAACGTTGCACAGCCAACCAAGTTGTGCAGATACCAGCAGACTTTGTACGGCCCGGAAATAGGACTTGAGTTCTCTTGGGTGGCAAGTAGATCTCTCTCGTCGCTGGGCAGCAAGTGCTCTTGCAATGTCGCCTTGTACTTCGCTGCTCTCACCAGAGGTTCACAGACATAAAGCCCAAAACACGACAAAAAGGGGGGTTGGGGGGGTGGGGGGTGGGATCCAATGAACAGCTCTTAGAGTGTTAGAAAATTTAATAGCCAACTCTTTGGTCAAAAAAAAAAGAAAAAAGAAAAAAAAAAAAACTGTGCTTGTGGCGGACGGAGGTACTGACAAAAGTAGCCACCTACATCACCCCTCCGGGTGGCGTGGTCCCACTAGCAAAGAGGATCCGAAAGAGGATCGGATCGAATGCCAGAATCTGGACGAGGTAGTGGAGATGTGCAGGAAATCGAGATTGAACTGATTTTCTGCATCTCTGCATAAAATATGTCCAGATTCAGGCATTCGATCCGATCCTCTTTGCTAGTGGGACCTCGCTCCGGGAGGCTCCATCCATTGGTGGGAAGCAGCATCTGATAGAGAGATGCTGAATTGGAACAGTCAAAATCATAATGCTGAATGGGGAAAAAAAAGGCAATATCAAAATTACAAAACAAAAAAAATGCTGAATGCAATCACTATTGCCAATGAATGCCCTCCACACCTTGGGCAAACTTTAAGATGAATGCAATTTAATATCACGAAGAGAAATTCTCAATGGAATTCAATTGGAGCTTAACAAGAAGGCCATCCAATTTTGTTTATTATTTTACTAATATTAAAGTTTTAAACGCTGCAGTGTGACAAAGTTCTTCTTTCCATTTTATCCTCTCGACGCCTATTTGTCAGAGGGGGGAAGAACAGGGTGTGGTGGTCCCCACATATAGAAAGAGGCCCCTATTAAAGCAGGATGCTTTAGTTTTGGAGGTCCAATACAGTGCGGCTCTGTAATTGGGGGCCCACCCTATGTGAGCGTAACCGCCGGCGGTCCGCCGCCAGTTCGCCGTTCCTGGCTTTCGAAGAAGTTTCGCCCTCATAAACAAGGTGTGCCAACCTGCCTGAACTGCTTGTACAGAGAAATCAATATGTTTCCGATGTTACTTCCACCCACGTACACCACCCCCCATACGTTGTGCGTAGTGGAGCGACTCTCTCTCTCTCTCCCTCTCTCTCTCTCTCTCTCTCTCTCTCTCTCTCTCTCTCTCTCTCTCTCTCTCTCTCTCTCTCTCTCTCTCTCTCTG